CCAAGGTTCCATGGGAACTAAGTCTGCACGAAGTTGTAGAGGACCCCTTTAAAAGACAGGTCCCTGCCCATTTACGCTCTCTGTTTCCTCTCTCTGTTTCCCCGCTCTGTTTCCTCTCAGCTTCCTTTCTACTCTCTCTCTCTCACCTATGAGCTCTCTCTATGGCGACCAGCCATGGTGGTCAGCCATTATCCCTGTTCCTTTTCTCTTCTTAGTCTCCCCATTCTGCCAGGCCTTATAATAAACTTATAGTCAATATGTGTCATGTCTCAGCATTTCTCTTTTCTTCTTTTTAAACAAAACAATAACACTGATAGCAGGCAAAAATCATAAGAAAAGACACTTTGGTTACTAAGATACAAAGCGGTGCCTCATCCTCTGGGACAGCAGCATAAGTAGCTCCAAAAGCCACCCAGGAAAGAAGCAAGGCTGGCAAAACTGTCCTGAAAATCGAACCATCATTAAAAGTCTCTGGGAACTACCTGAATTACACATGTCTAGTGAAGGAGCCAAGAAAGTCCACCAAGCTGGGCATCTCAGCACATGCTTGCAATTCCTGAGCTTGGGAGACAGAGGCAGGAGGCATTCTGAGACAGTAAGGGCAGACTAGTCTATGTAGCAAGTGCCAGAAGCTACCAAGTGAGACTCTGTCTCAAAATGACAAAGAGGAGGAGAGTAGCTTAAAAGAGAGCTCCAGAGGACACAGGCAGAGAAACCATCATCCTTAGAGGCGGCACTCATGCCCAAGGCTGCACCCTCAGGAATAATAAAGTTAGTCAAAAATGGTTTTTGATGCATGCACAGCTCTGCACACACTAAAAACCTCTGAATTAATGTACCCTGGAATGAATGTATACATGAGGCCAAGCAGATTCAGGCCAAGTATCTCAACAAGGCTGGTGATAACAATAATAATACTGAAATAAATGGCCTATGTATTTTTTGCAACATTATTTCAGAGAGCTATCTTGAGATGATAAAAACAATACTAAATAACCTGGACTACAGAAAACACAGAGGATTCCTCACTGAGTGCCCACCAACCCTGTGTCTCTTTGGAACAGTTCAGATTTCTAGAAACTGCTTATCAAGAATTGCTCAAAGCCCTCATTCTAAACACTTCCTCTGACTTGACTCCCACGCCTTTCAATGGGAAAGAAAATTCCCCTGAATGATCTCAGGATCCCAGGGATCATCACCCCTCATTAAGGGCCTTGCTGAGTCACCCCTGTCTGGCACCACACAGGATACAAATGGAGGCTCTGGGTTTTGTGGTCCACTCCCTGTTGTCAGGATCCCAGGGATCATCACCCCTCATTAAGGGCCTTGCTGAGTCACCACACAGGATACAAATGGTGGCTCTGGGTTATGTGGTCCACTCCCTGTTATGGTCCTCACTCAGCAACCTGCATAGCAATAGAAGGCAGCACTCAGCTGGGAAGATACCCCATTTTCCCCAGATTCTTCTAACTGGCCTTCACTCATCCCAGTGTGCTCAGATGAACATTTGGACCTGCTAAGCAATGTCATTTACTACTGTCCTGTGCACAGGTTACTTGATCTCTCTAGCCTTCAATTTCTTCTGTTCAGCAGACAGACTGGATCCGGAATTGACTACGAGGCACTCCAGAAAATAATTCTTGGTCAGATTATTTAAAGTAGGGAAACCTAGCCTAAGTATGATGCCCAGATAAAGGGGATAGAAGAAGAAAGCATTTTTCTTTTTGCCTGCTTGCCTTCACTCTTGCTGGCAAGTTCACCTACATTGTTGTTGACACATTCCTTCACTGATATTAGGACTCAGCTTTGAACTTTCACCATGGACTGAAGGCCAGTGTTTCTCCAGGATCTTCTGGGTCTTCAGTGCCAGATTGGAACTTCTGAGGAATCCAGCTAGTGGGATGAGCAACTACCAGGTTGTTCTCTGGTGTGAGACAACCATTGTTGGACTGCACAGACCATATCAGGTAAACTAACTCCGTTTTCATATATATTAATTCTGTTGGTTCTGACCCTCTTGAGAACCCTGACTAATAAACAAGATGCTGGACACACATGAGTGTATTTGGCACAAACTTCCCTTACTCAGCTGTCCTCTGCCCTTCTCTCCCTCCACTCTTATTGTTCCAGGCACATGGACATTCACATGGTGTGAGGGAGTCTTGGCCAGGAGGAACCCAAGGATTTCCAGACTATTTACAAAATAAACAAGCTGGCCACAAGGTGAATGACCCAGAAAGTAACAACTACTGCCAACCCGAGTGGACAATGACCACCAGGACCGGCTTCTTCCATCTACTCTCTGGGAGGTAGGACCCAATACACTGCAGCAGAAGCTGGGCTAGGAGACAGTGACGGATCCCAGGCTGGCCTGGATGACATGCATCTGGCCACTAGTGTTTACAAATCAGCAGCCAGGAATCTTCTTTGAAAGCCAAACTCTGGGCCATTTCCCTCTGTCAGCTTTAATTTCCAGTACAAATATTTTGAGATAAAATCATTAATCCTGTTTGCCTTATTATGGGTAGGGTTAGTGGAATAACCCCATGCCCCAACTAAAACAAAGCAAACAGTCCCATTCATTCTTTTCCATGCCATCCCTGGCTCTCGAGGGACCAGAACAGGAGGCCACTTAGCCAGCAGTAGGTCAACCTGTGGCACTGAAGAGGCCATAAGGGACCAGCAAGAAGCCACCTTTGCTACAGAGGCAGGCGAATCAGAGCAGATCTCGGGAACAAGGTTCACACTCCGTCTAGAGAAGGCCCCTGGTCCATAGAGGGGTAATCCCCACAGCTTACCCTTTTTTCTTACATTTCTTCCTTAGGCTGGAAGGATGGGTTCTTGGCACACTGCAGAACCCGCTATCTACTCCACCAAGCACCCATCTGCAAAGCTGAGACTACAGGGTTCCTTCAGGATCACTGAGAAGCTATTTCCCTGAGAGAAGGGCCTCCACAGGGCATGAGTTACTCTCTTCTGATGGCTTCTGGACCATCACTCCTTCCTCGGGCCTCTGGCTGGGTTGGATCATGTCCTCCCAAAAAATGTTGAAGTCTCACCCACTGGGATTGTATTAGGGGGCCAATGCACATGTAATTAGTAAAGTTGAGGTGAGGCCCCAAAGTCCGTGAGAGCTGTGACCCTATAAGAGGAGTGACTCGGAGCTAGAGAGATAGCTCAGTCAGTAAAATTCCTGCCACACAAGCACCATGTGAGGAAACCAGAAGCAGCAGCACACACTTGAATTTCAGCACTGGAGAGGTAGAGACAGGCAGATCCTGGAGCTTGCTGGACAGCCATCCTAGCTGAAGCAGCAAGCTCCAAGATCCCTGCCTCAATAAGCAAACAAACAAAGTTGATGGCACTTGAGGATGACACCTAATGTTAACATCTGATACACACAAACACGTGTACACATGTGCACACATGTGCACCCAGACCTACATATACACACACACACATGTATCCAGACATTACACACACACACACACACACACACACACAAACATATACACGCACACATACACTCAGACCTTCATATACATATGTACAAAAAATATGTGGAGTACTGTAGAGGTTTGTTACAGCAGCATATTAAGGGCCATCAGCCAGCCTGGACCACTAAAGCAAAGAAACATCCTTGCAGGTGTCTGGTATATAGTGTGTCACTCTACAGCTTGGCCTCAGACTTCTAGCCTCCTGAACTCCTGTTACATGAAGCGGCCTAGTTTGTGGCACCCTGTTCCAGCTGTCGTGGGAAACTAATATGGGTCCTAAATTCTGAACCCATATACCCCCACCCTTCCTCTGTCACCATCCATAGGGCAGAGATATAGCAGTGCCCACAAACCCAAACTCTAGGAGGAGGTTGGTTCCCAAGTAGCCATGAAAAAGTACAAAGGTCTTAGCATAGCAAGTCCCAGGGTGTTCAGGACAAGAAAAAGAGAAAGACAAGTGGTCCCTCTCCCAAAGCAGGGTCCCAACATGAGAAGGAAGAGGGCAGGCTGGAAATGGGTGGGCAAGGGGAGGCTGAGATGTAACTATTTTTAATTCTTAAAGACTGGGACCAGATTTCCATCACTGCTTCTTTCAGCTTCCCAGGAAAACCTTGGCATTCTGGCCAGAAGAAGGGAAAGGCCCCAGACACACCCATTTCTAATAGCAATATACTTGATAACACCAGAATCCCTCCTGTTTTATCAAAACTACAACTGATACTTTTTGCCTAACCTAGTACACTCTAGGCTTGGTGCTTAAGAGGGCAGGCTGGAAATGGGTGGGCAAGGGGAGGCTGAGATGTAACTAGCTGTGATTCTTATAGACTTGGACCAGATTTCCATCACTGCTTCTTTCAGCTTCCCAGGAAAACCTTGGCGTTCTGGCCAGAAGAAGGGAAAGGCCCCAGACACACCCATTTCTAATAGCAATATACTTGATAACACCAGAATCCCTCCTGTTTTACCAAAACTACAACTGATACTTTTTGCCTAACCTAGTACACTCTAGGCTTGGTGCTTCCTCCTCAGGCCACTTCCTCCCCAAATTCCTGAGATTTCCAGCTGTCCCTACATCAGCAGGAAAACAAAACAGCTCTGTCTGTAAAGCAGAGGGAAGATTAAGAAAGTGCCTCAGCCCCAGGCATCATTTTTTTTAACCACTAACTGGGTAATGAATAATTTATAGGCAAGAATGTTTGTGGGGGGGATAAAATGTTGACAAGTCAAGAAAAGCTCTTAGCAGCCTAACAGAGCAATCCATCTCTAAGAACAGGTTTCAAATGCATGGTTTAGGGAAGATCTGACTGTGGTTGTTTTCTTTCTCTCTTCCTTTTTTTTTTTTCTTTTTTTTTCTATATGGAAATTGGTAGGTGCTGAAATATGTTTCCTGAGTGATATCACAAGTGAAAATTAAATCATTGTTTCATGTTACAAGAAGTAAACACCCAGGTGGGAAAGGATGCTGAAGAATGCTGAGCCTCTGGGAGAGGGAGAGGTTCTTGGTACTCCAGGCAGGACTCAGAGCTCTGCTCACCTTTACCAGTTCACTCTCAATGGATGGTGCTTCAGGAAGCCAAGGCAATCTGGGTGATTCCAGCTGAGCCTCCCCCGCCCCTCTCCACACACACCTCCTTAGCCTTGGGAGTGATATCTTCCCAAATACAGCCAGGAACTGGATGAGGCCTTGAAATGACAAGGTCTAGCTTGGATGGAGCGCCTGCTGTGCTCCAGGGCTGAGATGCTGTGGAAATTTATGTTTTAGTGCATTATTGTGTTTTGAATGTTGTTATATAGCAGTTTCTTCTGAGATTGAAACACTCCATCTAGCAGGGAAGCGTCTTAGGACAGTAAATGACTCAAAACAGCTTCAGGAAGTCCCTGAAACTGACCATATTCATTAAGTCCCTCCCTCCCCAAGAGTAAATGGTAAGGACTGCTGAGAAGTCCTTCTCAGAAGGGCCAAGCTGCAAAGAAGAGTCTGCAAAGAAGAAGCAGAGAACAGTCAAGCTGCCTAGAAGAGGGTAAGGCCAACAGAGCTACCTGGCCAACCTGTTGAGCTGCCTGTAGGCTGTGAGTGTGCTCCAGGTTCCCAGCTTTTGTGAGCTGTCACCCATGCTGGGATGAGCTTTGGTGATGCACCTGTCTTTGAGTCATTTCTGCTCCTATAAGTAACCCCCCACTCATATCCCTATAAGCAACCCCAATAGTACTCATTAGTTCACCAAACTGGACTTCGGTAATATCCATTCTTTGGTCTTCTGGGGGCTCCCTAATATGAAATGCCCCCACAGGTTCATGGGTTTGAACACTTGAGTCCCAGATGGTGGTGCTTTTTGGGAAGGTTGTGGAAACTTTGGGAGGTGGAGCCTTGTACAAGTTAGAAGTAAGTCACTTGAGACTATCCTAGCCCTGCTTCCTGTTCCCTTTCTGCTTTTTGACTGTGATACAATGTGACCAGCTGCGCTGGCCCTGTCTCTATGCCTTGCCCCTCTGCCATCTTGTCTTTCACAAAATGGACCATACACACTAGAGACGTAAGCCAAATGAACCTCCTTAACCTCCCTACTGAAGGCTCTCAGGCTGGTTCTAATCACATTGCCCACAGCACAACTTCCCACTCTGCTTGAGGAAGGCCACTTGGAAAATGGCGTTCGGGCATGTATGGAGGAAGCCCAACGAAGAGATGGAAGAAGCTTGGCCTTGAACCTGCCCCCATGTTATGCTTAGCCACAGTGCCAGGATATCTTCCTATGGTAGTACATAGAATGGCTTCATTTTCCAAGTGGCAGCAGCTATTAGGGCATCTTAGTCACTGCTCTACTGCTATGAAGAGACACCATAGCCACAGCAACTCTTGTGAAAGAAAGCATTTAATTGGGCCTTGGTTACAGTTTCAGAGGTTTAATCCATTATTGTCATGGTGGGAATCTTAGCAGTGGGCAGGCAGGCTTGGTGGTGGAGAAGCAGCTGAGAGTTCTAGAACTGGATCTGCAGGCAGCAGGAAGAGAGAGTGACACTGGGCCTGGCTTGAGCTTTTGAAACCTCAAAGCCCACCTCCAGTGACACACTTCCTTCAGTGAGGCCACACTTCCTGATCCTTCTCAAATAGTGCCACTCCCTGATGTCCAAGCATTCAAATATATGAGCCTGTGGAGGGGGTCATCCTTATTTAAACCACCACATACAGTATGCCTCCTCAATTCTCAGTGGTTCCCTCACTTGTTCTTAGCCTCTGGATGGTCAAGGGTGAAAAAAAGCCTGCCAGTCCAGGTCCAGGAACTCATACCCCCATCCTCTTCATCTTACAGATCCTATGACCAGGCCTGATTCCTACCAGGCTCCTTTTCTGCTGCTGAGTCCACTGTAAACAGTGTTCTCTAGTGCTCTACTGAAGCTCAACAAGGCTCAGTCTGAGGCAGGAGGTCTGACTGGCTGATGTATGTTTCAAACTGAAGGAATTTGCAATGCTGAATGAGTAGACTTGCCTTGCTGCTTCAGGGAAGTGCAGGCTCTGAACACACTGGTGTTGGGAAGGGCATGAAGATGCCTAGTGTGTAGCCTTGGGACCAGAGCAGGAAAGGATGCTCAGTCTCCTCCATCCAGGCCTGCCTTCTCTTCTATACATGGATGGAAAGGCCTTTCCTCTCAGTAACAGCAAATCCCAGCAGCAGAGGCCCCTCCACATTAGAAAGTAGACCTTAGCTTGTCCCAAAGGTGTCCTCTTATAAATAACAAAATGTACAGAGCTGGGGCACAAAGGATCCCAAGGTATGGGAGCAAGATAAGCCACTAAGAAGAGGGAGGGGGAACCTGAGTGGCATAAGACAAAAGGCTTCTCTGGAGTAAAAGGACTCCTAAGGTAGGCAGGGTAGTGTCTGGGCCCTGGGGACCTCCTTCGGGGGCTGATTCCTGGTATTGTCATTCTGCACACTAAGGGACAACATGCTAGTGCATAATTAGAGCTCTCAAGCTCTAGAGATTTGGGGTGATTAACCTTTTTATCCTAATATCCCTCCAGCCATTCTGGAGATAGAGTATCAAGCCCAGCACACTTCAAAGTCTGAATATCGACAATAACTCTTGTTAAAGTAGTGGTTGTTCTGCTTTTCTGTCAAGTCCTTGCATGTAAAATCACTTATTTAATTAAAAACTCTGTTGATAAGCTTTGTTGTCCAACTTGGTGCTTTTTGGAGTTCCACTCCTGTATCTTAGGTTCCTTGATTGTCAAAAGAGGGGATGGAGAGGGACAATGCAGAAATGCTTTCTAGAAAGAACAATGACAATGACCTCTTCCTGAATTAAATGACTTCAATTCTGTCTATTCATTGCCTGTCATTACCTCACACATGATGGTTTCAGAGCCTAAGGCATAAGCCAAGGAATTAGGCCTTTATTCTCTGTCAACTATTCAAATCAGTACACTGAGTCAGAGACCTGGCTATCCATTCTTGATAGTTCTTGTCATCGTGTACAGTGATGATCCTCTCCTCAAGGCCAACCTCTGCTTGAGAACCCAGGCTCTATCTAGGTTCCTAAGCATTAAACATGCCCTGTTTAGCTTAGGACCTGGCACACAGTTAGGAACTCAGAACTAAAGATCTGCCTGAATCCCCATGGACATTCACTGTCCACCTGCCTATATTATTAGTTATCTTTCTAGTTTCTGTAAGAAACTATCTGGCAAAAGCAAATTAAGGGATGAAGGGATTATTGTGGCTTACAGATCAAGGATGCAGCCCATTGTGGCTGGGAAACAAAAGCACAAGGCAGCTGGTCACATTGCATACGCAGTCAGGAAGCAGAGAGTGAGGAACACAGACGCTCAGCTCATGCTCAATAGTATTCTTTTCATACAGATCTCAGCTCATAGAATTGTGCCACCCACATCCAGGAGGGATCTTCCGCCTCGACAAACATAATCTAGAGATGTCCTCCCAGACATGCCCAGAGACTTGTCTCTTCAGTAATTCCAGATCCTGTCAAAACTGACCATCACACCGTGTTACAGGGCACTGCTTCACTCCCACCAGTTCATGCAAATAGGAGCCCCTGGAAACCTCTTAGAGCTGGCCTAGGTTGGCATTCTCTGCCCCTATTCTCCTGGACATAGCTCAGAGCAAAGATCACCCTTACCACATCATCACTTCCAAATCCCCTCAGGTAGAAGATGCCACCCAACAGGTTGATGGCTAGGACAGCCAGTTTTATAATAATGTTATATTAACATACCATGGCCTCTGAGTTTGTCCCAGGGAGGAGCTAGCAGTCTCTGAGACCTTATGAGTCAGGGGCATTAGATCCTACAATGGGCTCTTCTTCTTCTTCTTCTTCTTCTTCTTCTTCTTCTTCTCTTTTCTTCTGTTATAGTTTGAGGCCATCCAGAAAAATGAAAGTGCAATGGCAAAGTGAACAGCAGGGAAAATCCCAATTGAACTCAAAACTTGATCTTTATGTGACCTTCAAAGTAGCTAAACTCCAAAGAAGGTCATCTGAGAGCTCATGGCCCCATACAGCACCAATTACTCCCATCCATTCATCGCAGCAGAAGAACACTGAATA